CAGTGCAACCCATGGGGTCACTTGCTGGCTTTGCTGCTTTTCTGGGCCTGGAGCTGAAATACAACTGAGGCCTAGATGTTATCTCTAGGGAGGAAGGGTCAGGATTCCGGACTGCATGGCCAATGATATGCTAGGGGAGGAAAGGTCACCCTGGTGGTGATTGATTGTCCTTCGCTAGGCACCTGGGGCTTCTCACTCTGGTGACCTGGCCCATGGTCCTTGCTCTGCTCAAGTCTGTCTAACTGCCTACTGGAGGACAAGGAGGACACGCAAGGCTGCTTAGGAGAGTCCTCTAATCCTGCTCCTTTCTTGGTCAAGCTTAGCTTTGGGACAGCCTTGAACTGGGCTTGGGACAGGTGTGAGATACCACATGCCCTCTCCCCTGGATCCAGGCCCTGGCACCCTGCTCAGCTGTTCCCACACTAACAAGTGCTCCTCTTGTTCAATCACTGGTTTTGCTTCTGCTTTTCCTCTCCGTTCCCCCCAGTGCTGGGGCTGGGAAAGACCCGAGCCTCTGGTGGGACTCCAGGCGAATAACTCAGTCACGGAAAATTAAGGCCAACTTGACGGTGGGAATCCTTTCACAAGGTATGTCTATCAAATCGTCACACTGCACACTTTAAGTATCTCAAAGTTTTACTTGTCAATTATATCTTAAGAAAGCTGAAAAAATGAAGGAGAAAACCAAGGCCAGAGCATGGGGCACAGGCAGGGCCTGAGGGCCTGAAGGGGAAGCTTGGCCAGCCTGGCACTGCTGAGGGCAGGGGATGAGTGAGCTCTCCAAGAGGGGGGCAGGCCCTGAGGACGGCACCTGGAGGAGTCCTGGTAGAAGGTGAGAGTCAGGAGGAGAGTAAAGAGGGTGTCTGATCCCGAGGTCGAGAGTAAGGAGGTTTTCGAGAAAGAGGGTGTAGTCAACAGTGTCAACGCAGCTAAGGATGGAAGATGGGGCCTCCACTTCCCAAGGAGGATGTGCACTGACCCTCTCCTGAGATGCAAGCTGGGCTGTGATCAGAGACCCTCAGGCTGAATCTGCTGCTAAGGAAACCTCCCGGGGAGGCTGGATGGGTGTGGACCCTCCGCCAAACCCCAGGGAAAAGTGAGCAGACACAGGGTGGGACGGAAACCAAACAAACGGCTCCTTTAAAGCCACCTGAAATCCGTGTTTCAGGAATGTTTGGTTTTGGCTTTTTTCCTGCAGCAGGATATTTAAAGAAAACAAATCTTTTAAAGCTTCAACTCCAAAGCAAAGAGCCTTCTGTGTGCCTACTCCTGGTCTCTGCTTCAAGAACAAACCTCCTTTACTCTTTGGTCTGGACTGTGTCCAAGGCAGACAGAAACTCCTGGCCAAGATGGGTGCAGCCCAAGTCCCTGCTCAGGGTTCAGAATGAGCCTGGCACAATCAGACCTTGAGGCCTTTCAGAGGCCAGGTGCCTGGGGTGGCTAACGTATGGCGGTGCCAGCTGGGAGCTGAGGGCCACGTTCCTGCCCCGAACCCAAGTCCAGCCAGCTCTTCCCCTGGGGCAGATACCTGGGGAAGAGAGGGAGTTGAGGAGTCACCCAAGGAAGGTGACCCAGGCTTAGTCTGTCTGGGACTTAAAATAAGATGGCACACCTTCAGCCTTGGCCACTTTCAAATGATTCAAATCCAGAGTCTGCAAAAGGAGGCCCAAGGAGCGGAGGTGGAAACAAAAGGAAAAGGGAGTTACTTCTGCCAGGCTCCCAAGCGCCCATCTGGCCCTCCACTGCTCCCTTCACAGCGCCCCCACACCCACCCAGCGCCGGCCTGCACGAGGAAGTAAAACCCACAGGGTCTTCCCACGGAGATCGTGTGACCCCACAGAGCTGCGAGGGAGGGAGGCTTTTGTTTCCCTTTGCAGATGTGGTGACATTGGCGCTGAGGGACTAGGGGCTTTTCCAGAGCCACAGCCACCAGGAAGCCGCAGAGCCTGCTTTTCCAACCCAGGTCTCCTCTCCCCACAGGCTCCACTGCCCAGCCAAGGGAAAGGCAAGAGGGAGCCTGCCTTTCCATCGGTCAGTGCCTGACCAGCGGATGTCTAGAAACTACTGGGCAGGGGGCTTTCCCAGCCCAGATGGCCAAAGGTCCTACCCAGGGGTTAGCACCCTTGCTTGGTGACCTAATGCCCTCCACCCTCACTATTAGGGGACAGATAGGTTCAGGCAAAGGACCCTAATGGGCCATGGAAGATGTACTGCCCAGGGCCCTGTCCACCTCAGGGCTTGTCCTCAGACCTGGGACCTTCCTCCCTGGTCACTGAGCCACGGATTTCCAGGCAGTCAAGGCAGGAGTAGCCCTGAGGATCATTCAGAAAACTGTGCTTGCCAACAGGGAGATGGAGGCCCACCTGTCCAGCGCCACACCCAGAAAAGGAACAGCACCTTCCTCACAAGCTGTTTTGAGGAGTACATGAGATAATACAAGCAAAGCATTTAGCCCACAGTAAGCATTCAAACTGAATTATCACACTGTTGTGATTTTACCCACGGGAACCAAGTTACTAGGCCTCCAAGAGAGGGAGGAGTCAGCCCAGGCCTCCAATCCATCTGGCCTCCCACGGCGGTGACAGCAAGGCTGAGGAGCAGGAGACCTGGGTCTGAGCCCTGCCTGGCCCCTCACTACACTGGTGACCTGGAAAAGCCCCGTGGAACCTCTCCCCTGGTTTTCTTCTCACCGAGAAATAAACTCGTCCGTCAGTAGGCCCTTTCCAGTTTGGTAATCCCTGATTTCATCAGCAAACCACCCGACCAGACAGCCGCTGGGAGAAGGGGGATGCCTGGCGAGGAGGAGGAAGCCCAGGACAGAGACAAAGGCGCCCTGTGCAGGCCTGGCCCCGAGCTCCATGGTTTCCATATTCAGGCCCAGGGGCTTCCAGGAATCAGAGTTCAAAGTTAATACTTGAAAGTCGTTAGACAGTTTACTGTGCGTTCCTGGAAGCCGTGGTTCAGGAGAGGTGGGTGGGGGCAGAGTGGCAGCAGGAAGAGCCTGAAAGGCAGTGAGGAGGAGGAGGAGGAGGAGGAGGAGGAGGAGGAGGAACGAGGGAGAGAAAGCAGACAGGCGAAGGTGAGCGGGGCGAGGCAGACAGGCAGGAGAGACGTGGGGTGGGCAGGCTGGGCCACAGCTGTGGGCAGTGGCTGGCAGTGTGGCCCAGACACAGGGCTCATAACACCATAGCTTGTGACTTCCTGCAGCCTGGGGCACTCTGCCCCACCACAAAACAGAGACGACAAGATGTTTTCTTTTTTGTTAATCCTCACCCCCAGGATATTTTTTTTCCATTGATTTTTAGAGATTGGGAGAGAGAAGGATGAGAGAGAGAGAGAGAAACATTAATGACAGAGACACATGGACCTGTTGCCTCCCACACGCACCCCAACCAAGGCCAGGGATCAAACCTGCAACTTAGGTACGTGCCCTTGACCAGGAATCGAACCTGAGACCCTCTGGTGTGCAGGCCAGCGCTCTAACCACTGAGCAACCGGCCAGGGCAACATGTGCTTTCTTATTTATTTATTCATTTTTTAATTAATTAATTTTTGTTACAGATGTTTCTCCTTTGTCCCCCACTGATTCCTCTCTCCCCCTTCCTCCCTGCCCTGTCCCCAGTTTATTGTCCATGTCCACTGTTCATGCATACATGCATATAAGTTCTGTGGTTTATCTCTCCCCCACCATCCCCCTCTTTAGGGGATTGTCAGTCTGTACCCCACTTCCACGTCTCTGGGACTACCCCGTTCCTCAGACTGTTATGTTCATTATATTCCACAAATAAGTGAGATATGAAACTTGTCTTTCTCTGTTTGGCTTGTTTCACTTAGGATGATACTTTCCAGGTCCCTCCATGTAGTCTCAAAGGATAACACGTGCTTTCTTAACAGGAACTCCCTCACCGTGTGGGAGGGCAAGCCCTTGGGTAATCATCTTGCTGCTCCCTGGGAGACTCAGCCCACACCTCCATTCCCCTTTGGCCTGAGACAGCAATGTTGCTTGATTTCCTGTAAAGTCTCACCACAGCTCCCCTGTGAGCAGCGTTCTTCACCGTCACTGATGGCCACTAGGAAACCCACACCAAACAGGCAGGAGCATCCCCATGTGCCCGGCAGCCTGAGGCCCCTGGATCATCCAGCAGCCTCGATTAGGCACCTGCCACGTGACGGTGCTCATGCCACACTTCACATGCCCGCACGGCGAACCCTCGTGATGGCGCTATGAGATGCAATTATTTATCTTCGGCGGAAAAACCAGGCAGCCTGGCTCCAGAGCCCATGTCGTACCCAGGGCTGTAAGCGGAGGTAGAACTGCCCACGAAGCACAGTGGTAAGGGCCAACGCGGTTCTGGCTCTGCCTTGCAGAAGCAGTGTGACCTTGGGGAAGTGGCTTGTTTGCTCAGTGTTAGTTTTCTCATCTTGAAATTGAGAAGAACAGCCTCAGAGGGTTGTTGGGAAGATAAAAGGAGATCTTCAAACCACCTGGCACAGGACCTGACATGGAAGGTGCCCAATAAAAGTTTTGTTGCCCAGTTTGGGGCCCTGGCAAACCCCTAGCCCAGAGCCATGTCTCTCCAGCCACATTCCACATGTACTAAATAGGAGGACACGGCGCTGATGGAGCATCACCCGGTGCCTGGTGCTGTGCCCAGGTGCCCAGGAGGGTCAGCCAGCAAGGGCCTGTGCTCTGTGAGGTTAGGGGTCTGGCCCCTGATCTCAGGACACCGCTGCAACCTCTTCTGCCCCATCAGCCACTGCCTTGCCCCACCCTCAGCCACCTGCAGGGCCCTTTGGGTGAGGCGGGCAGGGCAGAGCAGGGCAGGGCAGGGCTGAGTGGGAGGCAGCAGCGTCATTATCGTCATTATCGCTCCCAGCACAGGGCTGGAGACAGAGTTAAGCCTGGCCTTCTTATCAGCTTCCCAAGCCTTGTGCAGAAATACAGGGCCTGGCTCTGAGGCATGGGGGCTGGAAGGCAGGGCCCTGTGGTGCCTGCCCAAGTCCCGCCTCCCCCACCCCCTTCCCCGAAATGGTCCTGAGCAGGAACGGGAGAGACGGCCCGGGAAAGGGAGAGTGCCACAGGCCGTGGAGACCGTGCCATCCTAAGCAATCCCTTTCCCCTCTAGTTCCCATCTGTCACCTTGGGAGTGAAGGGGCAGCTCGAAGAGGTGACCCCGGAGTCCTTGCTAGCTCTAAAGAGTTCGGATCTTGTGACCATCTGTCAAGTAACCATGATCATTATGTTTATAGATGATGAAACTGAGGCCAAGCAGAGAGGAGAGACTTGCTCCTAGAGCACTAGTTGGTGGCAGAGTTGACTCTCTGGAAGACCTATGGAGGAAAGGTCTGGAGGTAATAAAGGGGTGGCTGCTTCTGGGCTCCCCTTCCCAGGGTCCAACCTCCTCCATCAGGTTCCAGCAGTGGGCTGGGACCTCTCGGAGGGGCTCCAGACTTCTGGGCACCTGGTGGCCCTGCTGGGTCACTCCCTGCCTGTGGCCCAAGGGAAAGCAGGGATAGCATGGCTTCATGATGTGTGGAGGGTAGATTCATCAGTGGACCCTGATAACACCCCCTCCTTTTATCAGTGGGCCCAAGACTTCCAGAGATGTCTGAGAACCAATGCTAGTTCAGCAGAAATGGGGAGGGGTCAGAAAGGAAGGTGGGTGCAGCTCCACTGAGACCTCTAGCCTGGCAAGAAAGAATATCTGAGAAGGGCCCGATGCATAATAGAAAGGGAGTAGGGGTCAAAAGAGGTAGGCTAGGTCTCACCCCTAGAGGCGCAGAAATCCTAGAAATCTCAGGCTGGTAGGGACCAGCGAGACCTGGAATCTACTACATCCCAGAGCAGGAGGGATGGTGACCTCCTCTGAGAATCTGAGAAAAGTTATGTCTGTGCCCAGCGCAGAAACGGAGGCCCAGGCTGTCAAAGGACATGACTCACTTGACTTAGGACTTGGAAGGCCTTGCCTGAGACTAGGTGAATCCCCTATGCTTTAATCCCCTGGTATTAAAGAGAAAACCACAGGCTCAAAATGGCATCAGCAGTGCTAAAACCTCACGACACTAAGCCTAGATTTAGTACCTGTTCTAACTGCAGTTTCAACCTCTCCCAGAAATGTAATCTTAACCAGTCTGACATTTTCTGGTTGGGCACCAATGACATAATCTGTCATGTAGGCCCTCTCCATCCCCCAAAGAAATAAAAGGCAATCTAAATGACAAAAACCTTTCCATCCCCTCCCCCACCCCACCCCCGCAAAAGACATTCAGGCCCCAAAATAATCTTTTCTTTTGCCAACAGCACCCTTGCCCCACCCTTCTTCCTATAAAAACCTTCCATTTTGTACCACCCCTCAGAGCACCCTTCTAGTTGCCAGATGGGATGCTGGACAATTCATGAAGCATTGAATAAATCTATTAGACCCTGGCCAATGTGGCTCAGTTGGCTGGGCATCATCCTGAGCACCGAAAAGTTGCCAATTATTCAATTCTTGGTCAGGGCACAATGCCTGGGTTTCAGCTAGATCCCCAATCAGGAGGCAGCTGATTGATGTTCTCACATTTGATATTTCTCTCTCTGGCTCTCCCTCTTCCTTTCTCTCTCTCTAAAAATCAATAAAAAGTCTTGACATTTTTCAATTTATTTTATGTTTGTATTGATTTTTTAGAGACAGAGGAAGAAAGAGATAGAAACATGGATGAGAGACAAACATCGATCAGCTGCCTCCGGCATCCCACCCCCACTCCCTGGGGATCGAGCCCACAACCCGGGCATGTGCCCTGACCAGGAATCGAACCGGGACCTCTCAGTCCATAGGACTGTGCTCAATCCACTGAACCACACCGGCCAAGCAAAGACATTTTTTAAATTAAAAAATAAACAAAGCAAAATAGATCTTCAAGTTTACCCAACTGAATTTTTTTAACACCAGTAAGTGAAGTCTTGATGACCAGCCACCAGCTCTGATCCAGTCAGGGCAGTGAGGGTGGGCAGCAGGGCAGGCAGAACTAGGCCTCCCCAGTCCCCGGGGTCTGCCTTCTCAGCCGCCTGCAGAGCTGGGGCTCCAGGCAGATGCTGTTCCTGCACCAGCCAGTTCCTTGAATATCTCCCCATCCAGGCCCTGGCCCAGGTTCTGGGATCTCTTCCACTCTGGCCCAGGCCTAGGCCACCTCAAGGACCCCCATTTAGGAGTGGGCCTGAAAGCCCTGTGGGTGCCCCACTTCACCAGCCTGGGCTGAGCTGTGTCCTCTGAACGCAGACAAGAGACATACAGATTCTTGTTCCACATACACACCTAGGCTCAGGGGCTGAAAAGGCCTCGTACCTGCTTTCCTGCGCCATCTGACAGTACATAGCAGGATTCCCACACCACCTGAGCTTCAGCTTTACCTGCAAATGCAGGCCCTAGGGATTTTAAATGTGGCCACTTAAGCCACTTACAGCAAGGCTCACACTGGACTGCCTTTTGTATGTCAGGGAGTAGTACTTTGCACCCCTCCCCAGAACCCAAGGGCAATGCTGAGTTAAGCAGGGATGAGAGCTGAGAAAAGGCATGAACCCCAACGGGACTTAGGACTTGGGGAGACACTGAGACCAGGGCAAAGGGCATGAGAAAAAGCTGGAATCCCTGGAGTTGAGTAAGGCTGGCCAGGGGCCTCCAGAGCCAGAGCCAGAGTGGCGGAAGGGCCCCAGGCTGCCACAGCAGGTGGAGTCAGGAGGAAGAGAGAAAGGCAGCCTCTAGGGAACTCAGCAACTCAGTGTATGAGAACTGGGGCCACGTCCTGCATCGCTGGTCACCTACCGCCCTGGCTGGGCTGGCACCCCTGGAGAACGAGTTCCTTCCCTGACACACGAGCGCGTGCATGCCCATGCTGACACACACCTCCACAGGCCCCCGGGGTGTTCATCTGACCACCACACCTTTGCCACACCCTGATTTCCCCTGCATAAGAAGGAAGCCACGTGGTTGTACCTATCCTCACCTCCTAAGGCAGCAGTTCTGAAACGTCAGGGTGGCAAGATCACATGGGCACTCAATAAAAATCCCCATTCAAATTCCCACCCTCCCCCACCCAGAATTCTGAGTCAGTGGTCTGGGGCCCAGGTAATTCTGAGAAGGTGGTCTTTGGAGAAATGCTGGGTGGTCTGTTAGCTGTGTGGTGGAGAAAATAATTACAATCATACTGCTGCATTCATTGTTGTCCGCTGTTTTGCATGAACCACCTTACTCGTTTCATCCCCGACAACTTTTCAGGAAGGTGCCATTATTTCCATTCCCAAGGTCACACACTGGCCCCTAGGGGAGCCAGTTTCATGTGGACTCCCCCCCTCCCCAAACATACGTGCGCGCGCACACACAAACACACACACACACACACACACAGACATTCCCAAGGGGCCTGCAGACTCACACAGCCTGGACCCTCCCCAAGGACAGGCCCCAACTCCCTAACAGGAGGGAGGGACCAAGGTGAGACTCATTATCAGGAAAGAAGCAGAATGGACTCTGATGGAGAAGACCCTCACTCTCCACCTCCCAGAGATGAGGCACTGGGCGGGTCCACTTCCAAACCTCAACCCACCCAGGAGTCTCCAGTGCGTGGGCTGGACCAGGCCGAGCTTGACGAATCCCAGGCAGCGGGCGCCCCCTGCAGCCAGACAGAGATGCCGCAGGGCGGGGACGGGATCTTTCCAGAGGCTGACATGCCTGACGGTGCTGGTTTTTCTCCTCCGTCGTCTCCAGCCCTCTCAGGGAGGTGGCCAGGCTAGCCACTGTGGTTTTTCAGGTGGGCCCCATTTGAGGTGTGAAAGAAATGTTGAGTGTCTTGCCCAAGGTCGCACTGCCAACTAATGTTGGATCTTCCTCCCTCCCAGGGTCTTTGTCCCAGCCCCTTCCAGCACCCCCCACCCCTCGTCCTGCACAGACACATGCAGCAGGGCAATTGTAGAAGGCAGGAAAAGGGTGTTTAATGGGCTTTGGGGGAGGAGGGGTCTTGACACTCCTGCCAGCAGAGTGGGCAAGGGCAGGGCTCAGGAGGTAAGGTTCCGGTGCAGGGGCTCCTAGCATCGCTGGGTGTGGAGGCCTCCTCATCTGGGGGCCTCCCATGGCAGAGGCAGCACTGGGCCTGCATGGAGCTAAATACGAAGTGGGGGTGTGGGCAATTTTTACTCTGATTGGGGACTCTTCCCAAGCCTCTGCCCACAGCTCAGGGCCCACCTGCTGGGGAGCAAGAAACTGTCCAAGCCCCACCCTCACCCCCAAGCACAGCAAAGGGTGTGGGCTGGCATCATAGAATGTCACTGCACCCCCAATTCATTCCTAATGCTTTACCTCCATGTTTCATAGGTTGGACTTCAGAGTAAAAATTGCCTTTCCAGGAATCTGACCCCCCCAAATTAAAACCACTGGACTAGTTTCAGTCCTCATTAGAGGTGAGGAAACTGAGGCTCAGAAAGGGTAAGTGACTAGCCCAAGGCTAACCAGCGAGTGCTGTGGCCTTGCGTCTCCAGGAAGCCCCGGTGTATTCTGGAGGGTCTCCCATCCCTCTCCCTGGAGCTCGTTCTGAGCGCTCTCACTTCAGAGCCAGCCCAACACTGGAGGGGGGCTTCCCCCAATGCCTGTACAATCCGCAGATCCCCTCTCCCAACACACACACACACACAACTCACCTCCTGGAGAGCTGCAGCCTCACCGCTCCCTGGGGGAGCATTTCCTGGTTTGTGGCGAGCCAGAGGTTGGGGCTGGTGGCCAGACCCAGGCCCAGGGAGGACTGAGGGACAGAGCGCAGCGGGGCACGTTGGGGAGTGCAGGTTCTGCATGAGCACCCAGTCCGGTTCCACCACTCTCTGCAGCAAAACAGCTTTGGCCATGTACCTGAAGTGCAATAAGCCAGAAGCGAGGAGTAGTGGCCCCCTGGCCTGGTGCCCATGCCTCCTCAGCCTGAGGAACACATAGCCTGGGGCTGGGCCCTGCAGGGAGCTGGGGCCAGTCTCATCCAGGCTACAGTGTCCCTCTACTCCATTTCTTGGGGCAAGAATGCACAGAGGCAAGGACGCAGAGAGGCTCTGGAGGCTCCTACATGCCCTGAAGGAAACCTCAGAGGAAAGAGAACAGTGGGTGTGAAGGTCTGGGAGCTGTGCTAAGAGGCCAGGGGAGATGACCCAGCTTCACCCCACCCCATCAGCCCCAGGGACCACCACTTGGACCTCTGGTTTGCCAACTCACTTGGGTCCCAGCGGTGCACAAATTGTTAAATACCAGTTGCTAGCGCAGCCATGGTCAAAGGGGTTGTATCCCCGCAGGTATCGGCCCTGGAGGGGGTGTAGGTGGAAGAGGAGCTCAGAGCCAGCAGGACTGGGCCGACCAGCCCCCACTGGCCCTCCCTCCCTGAGCTGGGCAGCCCAGCCCAGCCCAGCCCAGCCCAGCCCAGGGCTACAGCAAACTCAGAGGACAGAGAGGCCCAAGAACGAGCTGAGGCCTCCCCCAACCCACTTCTGAGCTGCTCTCTTCAGGCGACCCTGGCACTGCGCACACCTCTCCTGCCTTCTCAGGGATCCTTCCCATCACCTTGAACCTCCTTTGCAGCATCTTCCCCATCTCTGTCTCTTTTGGTCACACACATCCTCCTACTAGGTCCTTCCAGGTAGACGGTCAAGTCTTCCTTTTGCTGACAAGTTGCTGACAGTTCCCTGCACGAATCTCCTGCTCCCCCACTTCTCTACCTTCTTATCTCTCACTTTTTTCTAAACTTGTTCCTCCACTGAATTGTCACTGTCTGGAAGGGGAGTTGTATGGAGCCCTATCATATTTCCCTAGCCAAACTCACATGGCCCTGGAAAATCTGGGCTGAAGGTCCTGAGAATCCGATGCAGTAAAGGTCAAGTCCTCCCCTGGGCACTCCTCTTCCCCTCTTCCTCCCTCCACCCATGAGACTCCAGCCTCCCTGGACCCCATTTTACTCCCCGGTGCAAGCCAAGTCTCACTCGGACTTTAAGAGCCTTAGCTACAAAATGTTTGTCATAACCAACAATGGCCCAGTGGCACCTCTGCCCAGCACCAGCTCCCTTGTACCCCCCGCCCCTATTACTAAGACTTCGATCTTCAACAGTATTCTCCACCAAAAGGAACCAAGACTGTATGCAGGGCAGCCGACACCTGGGGGAGGAAGAGTCAAGACCACTCCAAAACGCAACACTAGCCACTGAGATATGTCGAGTTCTGCCTACTTAAAGGTGTTTAAAGCATTTCAGGGAAACTGTCATTCTATTCACAATTTTAATTAAATGGCTTGAAGAGCTTGATACAATTTACATCCAGAATTTTAGAGAAGCAAATGTTGATTTATTAGATGTACACGAAGTATAGGAAAATGTCGATGGTTCAAGGCTTAAATAAACTCATAAGAACTGACTCATAAGGCAGGGCACCTTCCTCTCTCCCACCACATGGGACCCTCTGAGATCTGGATGGAATCCAACAGCCCTCAAGTTTTCAAACTCTGCTCTCACACTGAGTCCACACCCGGGTCTCCTGCCCCAACCCCATGCTTCAATGCCCTTTCAGTCCACAGGACCAAAACCAAAGTGGGCATCTTCTCACCCATCTGCTGCCCAACTCCCTGCTGCCTGGGCTTTGCCCCCTCCCCCAGAGATCAGAGCATCAGGCTTCTCTGTCTCTCTCTGTCTCTCTCATTATTGATGCCTTTGCTCATAGGTT